CTACACTCCTTGACCCTATATGAATACAATGACTGAATTTGATCTTCAATTTAAAATATTTACACTAGTGGATACCACAAAATCTTATGTTATATTTAACGAAAGTATAAATAAACTCTTAATTGTTAGTGAATATTTTTTTTTATGGCATACGCATTTTAAGAAACTAGTTTCAACGATCCAATCGTCAAACTTGTTTGTTTATACTTCGAGATCATCCACACCAAAAATCGAAAAAAATAAACATTCAGAGATAAAGTAACGGGCAAAAAATTTCAACTGTTATAAATGAAAAATCATGATTTAATGGTTATTTTAACTCCGAAATTGATGATTACCGCTACACTCCTTGACCCAATATGAATAGAATGATTGAATTTGATCTTCAATTTAAAATATTTACACTAGTGGATACCACATAATCTTATGTCATATTTAACGAAAGAATAAATAAACTCTTAATTGTTAGTGAATATATTGTTTTGATGGCATACGCATTCTAAGAAACTAGTTTCAATAGTTTCAATGATCCAACCGTCAAACGTGTTTGTTTATACTTCGAGATCATATACGCCAAAAATCGGAAAAAATAAACATTCAGAGATAAAGTAACGGGACAAAAAATTTCGACGGTTATAAATGAAAAATCATGATTTAACGGTTATTTTAACTCCGATTTTGATGATTTTTTACCGCTACACTCCTTGACCCTATATGAATACAATGACTGAATTTGATCTTCAATTTAAAATATTTTACACTAGTGGATACCACAAAATCTTATGTTATATTTAACGAAAGTATAAATAAACTCTTAATTGTTAGTGAATATATTGTTTTGATGGCATACACATTATAAGAAACTAGTTTCAATGATCAAACCGTCAAACTTGTTTGTTTATACTTCGAGATCATCTACACCAAAAATCGAAAAAAATAAACATTCAGAGATAAAGTAACGGGACAAAAAATTTCGACGGTTATAAATGAAAAATCATATTTAACGGTTATTATAACAACCATCATCTTTACATATAATAGATGACCATTTTTTATAAAAAAGCGTCATCTTTATATATAATAGGCAACCCTTTTTTTAAAAAAAAATCGTCATCTTTACATATAATAGACGACGGTTTTTTTATAAAAAACGTCGTCTTTACATAAAATAGACGATGGTTTTTTTTATAAAAAGTGTCATCTTTACATATAATAGACGACGGTTTTTTCGGTTTTTATAAAAAGCGTCATCTTTACATACAATAGACGACGGTTTTTTTATAAAAAGCGTCATCTTTAC